AGCTAAGGGTTTATTGATTTTATTTATTCTTTCAAAAAACCAACTCTGCTTCATTTATTTTTTGTATCATTTTCTTAGCTTCCATTGCATTGATTTCTGCTCGAATCTGTATAATTTCCTCTCTTGTTCAAGCTCTGGGTTTTTCTTGCTCTTGTTTTTCTAGGACTCTAAGGTTCATCATTAGGTTGTTTATTTGAGCTCACTCTGTTTTCCCAGTGTGGGCATTCAATGCTATGAATTTTCCACATAGAACTGCTTTCATTGTGTCCCATAGATTCCTGTACATTGTATTGGAATTTTCATTTATTTGTAAAAATTGTCTGATTTGCTCTTTAATTTTCTCTGTGACCCATTGATTGTTCAGGAGAGTGTTGTTCAATTTCCAGGTGTTTGTGAAGTTCCTATGGTTTTTTATGCTATTAATTTCCAGCTTGATTGCACTATGATCTGATAATATACAAGGAATAACTTTGATTATTTTGCATTTATTCAAACCTGTTCTGTGAGCTAGTACGTGAGCACCTTCCAACAGTGGGCACCAGGAGGAGAAAACTCTCCCCTAGAACATTAAAATAAAATGTTTTCTCTTGGGCAAGCTCACTCCCACAGGGAGAAAAATCTGAGCTGAGTGGGCTGACTTGTATCAGCCAATTAAGACATTCCATCTTCCTCTCAGGAATGGCGAGTAATGGAGGGGAAGAAGCCAGGAATTTCACCTAACTGCTCACTTTGACAAAAGAAAATATCACAACTTGGGTAAACATTTTCCCACAATTCCCCGTATTTATTTATAGTGTCAATGAGCTAGATTTCACCAGAAAAATCCACAACTCAACCACTCTTCTTCTATAAAGCAAGATGGATATCGCATGTCTTCTGTCTCTCTGTTAAATACACACAGAAAAATCGCAATCCTTAAACGCTGAAGTGTGTGAGGTGGAGTGGGATGGGGCAGATATGGCATCATCCTGAAATCACACCACCTATTCCACTGACAACTCTATCTCTCTCTGAATTTCACCTAGCTCATCCCAGGCCAAACCTCTCTGCTTTATCAGTTTGTCAACTAATAAGAGACCAACTTCTTTCTACTTAAGACTATTAATTCTAATAAAGTTGCTGTTTCCCACATTCACAGGTAGTCCTGTACTTTTATGCTTAGACTTATCTTCTTTTAGAAAAATCATTGTTTAAAAGAATCTGGGTCTTAAACAGGTTGCTGTTTTAGCATATTTGTAATCTGTTACCAAGGCCAGCTGTTTATTAGTTCTTGCAACCAATGTACACCACACATTGAATGTTTAAAGAATGAGAGCTGGTAGATGGATGTCTCAAACTGATTGCCAAAGCCTTTTGTAAAGTAGGTGGAAGGCAGGAATGGTTCTCATCATATCCTGTCTCCACCATCTTGATTCATCTACAGTGAAAAAGAGGGTGGGTGTGGGTGTGGAGATGTATATGAGCTTGTGCATGTGTGTGTGTGTGTTGTGTGTGTGTTTCAAATTGCATTTTTTGGCTCCATCTCCAGTGGGATGATTAAAGAACTTCAGCTCTTTGCAAGCAGCTCAGCCAGAAGTTTGACTATGTTTCACTTTCCCAATATGGTTCTCATTTGCTTTAAACCTCATTCATTTTTTATTATTTGTCTTTCAGAGAAAAAGGGAGCAAAAAAAACCTACGGCTTCTTTAATTAAGGCCTGCATTCCTGCTGGTATATTTCAGGAAGACAATAGGTAACTTTTGTTTCACTCTCTGGAGAACCACAGATTGTGGTTCTATTTATTCATCAGGGGTCCTCACAACTTTGGGGCCCATCCCTGGTTTGGTGACCCTTAAATTCGTTTTCATATGGAATTGTGAACAATGTATCAGTTTATAAAACTTACGTTTCTCTTTCCATAGTTCCAGCAAGGCACCACTGGGATAATAACACAGATCTTCACTGACAAGAGCACAAAGACTAAAGATTTTTTCTGACTTTTTTATTTTTATACTTAAGAAAAAAAAGTAAACCCCAGCTGTCTCCCTCCCCATCTCAAAAATGCCAAGCATTCAAATTCTGTGGTGTGAAACCATCTGACCCATCTTAATTTCAGTTTAATTTTTCATGATAAATAAAAATACAGGCGGGGATCGTTAGGGTAATTTTCCCAAATGAGAAACCAGATAGAGTCAGGAAGAGAAACCATATGTTTGCCTTCTGGTTTCTTTTCTTCTTCACACTTATGCTTCTAGAGAGAAGACTGATCGCATTGAGTTGTTTAATCCCAGCTCCTTTTGCCATTTCTACCAAAATAAAACATCGAGGCTAAGACCCCTAAGGTAAAACTTAATCTTTAAGGAAACTTCTTCATGCATTTATTCAACTCTTCTGCTCAAGGTGATAGTGTAGGTATCGGAGGGACTTGGAGATAAGTTCACAATATTCACAAAAGGAATTCGTGTACCAGACAGAGCAGGACGCAGGACAGATGTGGAACAGATAAAGGAGGAACAGAAAAAGTTGACGATGAGGGGAGCTTAAATATTCTCCGTTATGATGTTGATGTCACTGTGCCTTGGTCTGGCTGAGCCTTTCTTCACACATCTTCCCAATGCTAAACTACAATTCCCGTAGCATCATAGTCAGGTGAAACAGGGTCCAGATGAACAGTCACAAAAATACCCTGTGCAACCGAGGACATATGTGGGACAGGTCAGCGGTCCCGACTGGGTGTTGGCATAGGCCTGAGGAAAGTGGCCTGAGCAACCGGAAACATGGAACTCCCATCAGCCAAGATGAAAAATGTGCAGGGCTGAGTCCTAGGGCAATTCTAGTGTTTAGAAATCAGGAAAATGGGGATAAAATGGCCAAGGAGACAGAGAAGGAGCAGCTAGTTAGGCACTGAGGAGAACCAAGACAGAATTATGTCCTTATGCCAAATGAAGAGTTTCCAGAAGGTAGTATACTCCTACCTCAGATACTATTGACAGATCAAGATGAAAATGGACAGTTGAACCCTGGATTTACAGGACTCTTTTAATTGTAAGAGTAGAAACAAAAACCTGATTCAACAGAAAGATATGGAAACAAGTCTGTTGTCTAAAAAAATTTAGAAACATAATCTTTGAAAATAAAATTAAAAGATTTTTCAGTGTTTGAAAAGTTAAATTATCAGTTGTCTGATCCTTTTGAGAATACAGAGTAACCACCTATCTCCAGTGCTATTGGTTTTCTGTTTTCTGAAATAATAGCTAATGTTGATTACACGTGTAGCCAGTGCCAATAACTATTACAATTTTGTATATACACCTTTCATTTATTTAATCTTAATAACAACCATTTAAGATAATTGCTATTATTAAACCCATTCCGCAGATAAACAATCTAAAGCTTAGCGATGTGTGGTAATTTGACCAACATAAGTATCACCAGTGAGAGAGGGAGGCAGACTTCAAACAGGAAGACTGGCTGTCCATACCAAACTCTTACCCACCTGAACCCCAGCCCATGAGTCTCCGCTCCTTGGCAGCCTCAGACTTTGAAAGTATAGGGGCTCTTGAACTAAAGCTGTGGAAAAATGAGTGTGGGAGCAGATAGAGAGTTTGCTGATTATGACTTCCCCACAGAACGGAATTGTAGAGCCACAGTCTTCTCTCCCAAAGCATTTCCCAAGTGTTCTTGAAACAATGGCCGCCTTCTGGTACCATCACTCAAATTCAGACCTTGCAGCAGTTGAAGGCACAGGAAGCTCATCAAAGCTCCCAGTTTTTTCTGTCCTCAGTGCTCTTTTGAATTCTCGTGTAGTGGTATCCCACTGTCTTCTTTTTCCTGTGAAACTTTCCCATGAGAGCCACTGCTGCTGAGCTTTGTTAAAAGCTGGGGTGATGAGGATGATGGGCAAAGGAAGAAGGATCAGGGAGGCAGGAGGCAAGGCCAGGCTTCTGTGAGGAGAAAAATCAGAGTCATCTTGGTCCTTGTGTCCCTAAAAACAAGGCTCGGTGTTGGAACCGGTTTTGTGCTCTGAGGCCACTATTGTTCTGATTCTTCCTACTTTATCCTCTATTAGGAAAAACTAGACCAGGAAGAAAAGGGCTCCATCTGGGTTCAAGAAAGAGACCTTGAGAGCAAAGGGAGGGCCCCACTCAGAGTGGCCTGGCTAGGAAGGGTCCTCGGGAAAGTTTGTCTTCCCTACACTCTTTTCCAACTAGCTCACCACAGGGACGCTCTAAGAACCTAAAGACCCATATTATCATGCCACCGATTCACTTGGCAGGAAAGCATACTGAGCTATCTCACATTGGGAAGGAAGACTATGGATCTACAATTTATTTTTGTGGTTAAATTACAGCCCATCTTCCTCTCTATCTGCTCCCACTTTGATTTTTGCATGCTTTTATTTAAGCCCCTTTTTGGGCTTCTCTGCCTTTTACAGTGGACTTTACACTCACCAGGAACAATATTTTGCTACAACCATCTCCATATCTTTCTCTTTTTCTTAAGCAGAGTAATGCACTTTATTTAACATACAGCTCTGTTATACGTGTGACTCTTTACTAACATGGACCAAACCTGCGTAAAGACATACTTCAAAAACAATACACTCCCGAGTTAGTGACCGGGCATTCCATGGCATCCTTGATAAGCTGTTCTTTGTACAAAAGGCTATTTAAATCTAATTACTTCATTTGGCAGCTTTGCATTTCTTTGCTTTGTATTCCCTAAGAGGCCAGACTTTCCATCTCCTCTTTGGTTCATGTCTTCCACAACCACATATAGTACCTTCCTGTATCAGTCAGTGCCTTCCACCAAAGTGACAGAAAACCTGGCCTAAATGAGTTAAAAAGATACACTATTACTGAATACACCAAGAGGTTCCAAGTCACAGTGTTTCCACATTTGGTTAATGCAACATTTCAGTGGCATTATCAAGGGCCTTGGGTCCCCCGTCCTATCTCTCTACCATCCTCTGCATGCTGTTCATGAACTAGGCTATCATTCCTCATGGTCACAAGCATGTTGTGACCCACAGACCTGGCCAATGGTGGCCAATGGTGGCTCTTAATAGATGAGAACATCTTATTCAGAAGCTCCTTGGCAAACACCTTCATATTTGGCTTGAAATGAGTAATGTGCCAACTGGCATAGACAGTGGACTTCCCATCATTATTACCCTGAATGACAGCAACTACTTTTCTAAGCACGTGATTACATGGAAGAGGGTGGAACACCCCTCAAAACTAGAGCTGTGCTGCCAAGAAAGAAGTTGAAGCATACAAAGCTAGAAGGATGAAATTGGTGCGAGTAGCTTACAGCATCTGATAAAATAACACCTGACAATGATATTGTTCAATTGTCACCTCACCTTAGCGTGGATTATTTCTTCCATTCTGGAAGCTAAGTTACAGGAAGGTAGGGACTGGCTCAGAAAGGCTTTGATGAAAAGAGGAAAGATTTGCAGCATGAGCCTTGCCTTGCTGAAGAGCCACCGCAATGGAAGTCTGCACAGGGAAGAAGAGAAGGCCCGGAGAAAGTATTTCAGTATTCCAAGGACTGCCTCGGGCCATCTGCACACTGTTCCTACTAATTCTCATAAAACTCGCCCTTGAATACAAAATCTTATTCTCCTACTTCAGATGAGGAAATCAAGTCTCAGAAAAGTTGGATACTTTGCCAAGAGTTATCCAACCAGCAAGTAGCAGAGAGAGAGTCATGCTGGCTGCTGACGGGAACTGCAACCTTCCTGCAAGGTCCAAGTCTTCAGGGGATTTTAGAAATAGAAGCCTCAGGAAAACAAGTGCTTCCATATTACCTTGAAGCGTTGGCTATACATTTCTATGAAGTCTGTCAGCCCTATATGTCTATAAAGTCTCCTAAAGAGAATGGACCATTTCAGAGATTTTCAGGGTGATAAAAAGACCAAAGAGTGAGGAACGGGAGAGGAAAGAGGAAATCTATGAAACCCAAATGACTGAAGATAAATTAGCCAAATATCAGTTTTGTAAAATCATTAAGTTGTTACATTTAGCAATACTAATTTTTGTCATAGTTTGTAGGAATTCACAGTTTGTAATAGTTGTAATTGAATCTACATAATTTTTCTAAATTTTATTTTCCAGAGGCTTTGTTGCAGGCAAAACTAGGTAGCATAGAAGAATCCTGCATCTGCGACAGCTTTGTGAATGCATACTGTCTTAGTTACTTTTCTCTTTTCTGAAACAAAATACCCAACACCCAAAGTTAAAGGAGGGAAGGTCTATTGTTTGTAGATATTGCAGTCCATAATCAGCTGGCTCCAAGGCAGAAAAGCATGGCAGAGAGGGACCAGAGGTAACAGAAGCAACAAGGGACCTTAACAGCTCCTCCCTGCTCCTTTTATCTTATTTGGACTACTTAGGGTGGATAGCACCCACACCCTTTATCCTCGTACCCTTGGGCCTAGCACCACACCAAGAGTCACTCACACACACTGGATCCAGCCACCTCTGACAAAGCCCCCGCCACAACTGCATGAGGCTTTGGGGGAACAGCTAGGCACAAACCACAACATATATATGTATATATCTTAGATGCAAGAGTGGTCTCCAGTTTTCAGGGGTGATTGTACGTACAGCCTCGGGCGGGAGATCTTTACAGCAATGAGAGGCAGCCAGAGCGAGACAGAAACCCTAAATTGTCCGTGATCGTGAGTGTCGTAACTGATGCGTCAGGCCACACAGGCAAGTTGGGGTCAGGTACTGAAGAATCCTAAGTGCTGAATTAATGAGCTTGAAATTCCCAGGAGATGATGGAATGACAAGAGCATAGGTGATACCTGCAGCGGTGGCTGGCACCCAGGAAGCACTTGATGCACACCTGCTGGGTGAGCCGCCCACCTGAACACGCTCCACACTGCTTCAGCCGGAGTCACAGGTCTGTAAGCAGTTCCCTCTGCAAGGCAAAAGCAAATTACACGGATGGCTCTTCCACTTCCATTAAGTTGGAGTCACTGTTACATCTTTTCAAAACTAAGATATAGAAGATAGCCATAGATGGCATTATGTTTCATTATGGCAATTGTTGATAGCTGCTAAGCAACTAACCTGAAAAATGGTGTCCTGAAGGCGATGGGTCCTAACTCAGGGACTGATAGCTCAAAAAAGTCTATCAATCTTAAAATTTAAAAACTTAGTGGTGCAGGCCTTAGTTAGTATACAAAAATGCTACTGTTCAAGGGGTCATGTACAACAATGTGTATAAAATCTCTATTTTCTTTTCTTTTTTCTAATCATAGGCCTAAATGGAATTTTTGTAAATGTGAATGTGAAAATGTTCAGAACATGCTTAATAGTGTTGAATTTAAACATTGAGATACGAAGCGCTAAAATCTTGATGTAAAAGTGAGGGGGGAAAAAAGAAAACTTTGCATGAAAAGCATCAAATCGGCAGCAACCTTGGTTCTCAGCTGCTCCCACTGCCCCCTCCCCGCTTGCTGCCAGGAGAAGGCCCTCCCTCCTCTTACTCTCCAGGAATGACTACCACCTGCGCTTCCTGCTGTGCGCTTGCCCTTCCCTTAACCCCAAATCCAGGCATCCAAAGGAGGGGTGTGGCCTTAATGATGTCAGTCCTCTTTCTTTGCTCAAACTCCTTCCTTCTCTTCCATTTCATCTTTGTGTCTCCTCTTAATCTGTAGGTTAGAAAACCCCTAGTTCCAATTGACCTGTTTATCTTACTCTTTTATAGCAAATTCTCCTCCCAGTGTTGTCCATCTATCCGCTCCCAATAACAACAGCTTCCTATCCAGGCCTAATTTCAACTATCTCTTTCAAAGTCTGTTGCTCATTATCATGAATACATGTAAATTACATGTATGTCACATATATGTAAATATATATATAGGGAGAGAGAGAGAGAGAGAGAATCATCCCTAGGTATCTCAGCAATTTGGTTCTAGCACCACCCACAGATAACAAAATCTGCAAATGCTCCAGTCCCTTACATAAAATGGCATAGTCTCTGCAGATAACATGTGCACATCCTCCTGTAATTTTGGGGTAAGGTGCTTAGGATCAAACCCAAGGCCTTGTGCATGCCAGGCTACATTCCTAGCCCACCTTCTTTTATTCTTTAAAGCATGTCTAGATTACCTATCCTTCCTAATATGGAGTAAAATACTACATAAAGAGGTGTTTCACTGTATTGCTTAGACTGAAAAGACAAGAGTCATCTGTGCATGGTCACTACAAAATGAATTAAAAACTATTTTCGGCCCACTGTGGGTTGAATCCATGGATTCAGATACAGAGGCTTAATAAATATCTTTCAAGCATAAGGTTTGCTACTTTGTAGGCTCGGTATTAAAGCTTTTGTGGTATATATCTGTCTGTTAAATAACGTAGCCACTATATTATATATGGCTATTTAAATTTAAATGAAATAATATTAAATAAACTGTACAATCCAGTTTCTCAGTCGCACTAGCCACATTGCAAGTACCAGCAGTTACGTGCAGCGTCTATTGTATTGCTCAGGAGCACCAGTGACATTTTACCGAGCAGCCCTGCAGTGCGTTATTTGTCAGTTTTTTCTGCGTCTTCCCATATTGTTACTAGATCCTTTGGAAACCCAGAGGAGACATATATTTACTTGTAAAAGGGATTGTTCTATTTCTGTTCTGTTAGATAAAACCCGGAGTGAACTTGGAGCTCAGCAGAGACAGTTTTCTCCGGGCTGTGGGTGGGGCAGACCTGCAAGAGCATCAATCCAGGAGATAGAAGGAATCCCAAATTCACGCTATCCTGTCCCCTGACCCAGGGCTGAGCTCAGCCCCTGGCTTCTGCAGAACATCTTGAGGCTCTGAGTGAATGGCAGTGATGACATGTTTAATGAAAGGTAAATATTTACGGTCAGTCTCCAGCAGATGTGCTCCGTGGGTGGGTGTGTGAGTCACTGCAGGGGCCGGGAACCCACGTTGTACTCTGGATCTCACTGCAGAAGTTGCTTGTGCCTAAACTTAACCTTGTTGTTCTGAAATCAGAGCAGGTGGGCATCAGGGCATTGTGATATGATCAGCAGCCCTGCAACTGCAGAAGGATTGCAGTCGGCTTGAAGCTGCAGCGTTTTTCACTGTGCTGACTACAAAAATTCCCAGAAAGGCCCAGAGCAGCTAACCTATCAATATCCTGGGATGCTACTGGCATCTAGTGTAGAGACAGGGAAATAGCTGCCCTGCAAATGCTCAGCAACCAGAGACAAAAGGAGGGCCCAACCAGACCTCACTCAGGACTGCAGGGTTCACCCTGGGGACCTCCTCGCTAACAAGAGTGGTTGCCAGCAACAGAAAGAGAAATCATAACAATGGAAAACTGATTCTCCAGTTCACCTACACAACACCTATGCCACAGTCTTGCAACACCACCAGCTCCAATGCCCTCTCTTTATAATTTAAAATTATAGTAGTTATTGTTGCCATTACCATACTGAAATTCAATCTATAGACATTTAAGACCTACCAATGTTCATTACTATAAAAATCAAATAATATCCTACATCCAATATAAAAGAGAAAATAGTACAATATGATACAAAGTATTTCAGTATGTGTATATTCAGACAGAAAAAGAGCAGAACTCACAATGGGGTCACATTCTTGCACCTCCATAAAAAGATTAAGTTTGGGTTTAAGAGAATGAAGGTATTGGTAAGAACTGAGACTATATCAGAGGAAAGTGAAAAGGCAGAAAAAGGCCAGCCTAATGATTTGTGTGTGATATGCAATATCTTAGGTAAAGAGAGAAAAAAAAGATGAGTTTTACATGTGGGTGAATGGAGACTGGCTAAGAGAATAGCTACAGGAGGCAAGGCACAAATGGAGATCAAGAATTCAGCAGAAGTAAGAACTTAGGAACTATCTAAAAGAAATGTAGGTTTTCTAGGATCCATGGAAATATGGAGAGGAAGAAATGAGAATTTTCCATTCTTCGTAGGATGGGAGTTAAAGCCAGTTTTCTTGGTGTTTAATATTGAAAAGGCCATGCATGGCCCCATATGACCCTGGGTGCCTGACATATGGTTTACCAATCAAATCAGTGCCCAGAGAGCATTGCTGTTCCTGTGAGATTCGTCAGCAAGCTAAAACACATACCTGGGTCATAGTAGTTGCTCAGCAAAGGCTGGTTATCGACTGAATGCATCTGCCATTTGGACGTTTGTGCCCTTGTGTGATTTGCAGAAGTGGCATACTTCGTTCAGAGGTTTCCATTAATTGAGCATTTCTGTGATGGTACTTTATATACATGACACAACTTAATTCTTAAAACAACATAGTAAGGTACCTATTTTCATCTCCACTTTGCAGAGATGAAAAGCCAGATTTGACAAATTAAAGTCAGGCTTGATAAAACTCTTTATAAGGTGTAATGGCGCCTGGATTCAGATGTGTCTGTATTATGCTTGAATCCAATGCCCACCCTTGTATCGATGGAGTAGAAATAGCAAACACAGTTCCCACTTCAGGTCAAGTCACCCAAAGTCCAGTGCTGTGACTTGCTGAATGCTATACTGCTAGTGTACAATGTCCATGTCCTTCTTTTTCAAAAATTTTAATTGACACATGATAATTGCATGTATTTAGTGGGTACAGTGTGATAGCTTCATATATGCATAGCGATCAAATTAGGGTAGTTATTATGTCCATCACCTCAAATATTTATGTATTGTCTCTCTACTGACAGTAAGGTAACGTTTTTCTCAGCATTTTTGCCACATCTTGTGATATTTATATCATGTTTTGTTCTAGGGAAACTCAGAAATCAGCTTTAACCTCAAACAAATCATTAAATAATCCTGGCAGGATATGAGCATGGTAATCTATCAAGCGTTTCATAATAGAGACCAGAAATCTAAATGTCACATAGGGCATTTAAGTTAAGATCTGCACTTGGTATGGGAACAATTAGCGAACAGACTGCAAATAAATTATCTGATTACTCTCAGGATGGGATAGTGAGTTGCTACAAAGCCTCCCTTGGATGTGATGGGGATCTGGCCTGAACATCTGTCATCAGATGGGTGTTGGGTTTGATCCTGCCTGGCGGGCCAGACACACTGTTTCTGCCAGTATTGTATGGTAAACAACCTTCCTGAATCCACATGCTGGCCCCATCAAGGATACCCAAGTGTGACTCACCTCTTGGGGACAAAAAGTCCTGTGAAATCAGTTTGTAAGAACCAATTTTATGGTTTGGCGAACTGTTCTTTCTAGTAGTGACAATGAAGCACTGTATTATAATGAAGCCCAAATGGAGTGAAATCAGCCCAGCTTTCATACTCTAGGAGTTCAAGTGGAAAGTAGTATGGAGAACTTTTTCTTACAAAGGCAAAAATACATCTACCCCTTTACTCAGCAATTTTACATCTGGGCATCTATCCAAGAGAAATGAAAACGTGTTTACAAAAAGAATTCTATTCATAGGGGCTCTACTATTAAAAGCCTCTCAAGCTGGAAGCTATCCGAATACCCAGGGACAGGTGAATGAATAAAGAAATGTGTATTATGTTCATACAGCAGGAGCAACAAAAAAGTAAGCTGCTCATACAAACAACAGAAATTAATCTCAGCAGCATTTTGTTGAGTGGAAGAAGTGATATATTATCAAATGAAAGTTTAACTGATTGCAATACTTCAAAGTTCTAGCATAGACATAAATAATATAGTGATAGAAATTAAAGCTGTATAACTGGGAAGACAAGGAAACTTTCTGGTGTGACGAAAGTGTTTAAATTGTACATTTTAATATGTACACTTTATTCTGCACAAGTTAGATTTGAACTAAAAAATAAAACCTAAGATTGTTTCAGCTACAAAGAGATCATACTTGTCTTCTGTTTGTACTTCTATCTTCTTCTCTTCTACTTGTTTTCATGCTCTGGTCTTCAATGACCAAGAGCCACCTTAGAAAACCCTTACTGTGGGCACATCGTTGTAGTGGAGTAATAAAATTATAGTCCACCCACAATTATGGGAAGTGGATTAAGCAACTTGTAGATCAAATAAATTTGAAACACAGTTAATAGCTGCTGCAATTTTCACCAAAATGATCCAAATCGAGGTTCCAAAGTATGTAATGCATAAATCCAATATCTGAGAAACGGACATTGGGAAAAAGAAACTGAGTTTTATTGAGCACGCTAACAGTCTGGAAAGGAGATAGACTAATCTCTCAAGTTCCTCCTTTCTGGTCCTTGGGGACATCAGAAGGGTTTTTATGTGAAGCCTAGATTAGGGGCTACTGGTAGAAAACAAGGTTTCCCGGGAGCTTGAGGAAGGCAGTCTGGTGAACGCCTCAGTATGATGAGCAGGCCATTCTCACTTCCGGTCAGTTTTATAGTCAACATCTGGTTCTTGGAATCAGCTCAGAAAAATAAGCAAGGAATAAAGGGTGAAGGCCAGGGCCTGAGAATGAGAAATGGAACAGAAACGAAGCAAGATGGAGGCAGTAATGTAATGTAATATGCAATGGAACGCGCTGCAGTGTGATGTTCGTAACCTATTACAAACGCGTAAGAAGAGGAATCCAGATATCCCCAGCTCAGGGAATGAATCCCCAATTCAGTGATTCAAGAGAAAGGGAGCAGCTTTAGGAAGCCGCATTGCAGAGGCTCCAGGTGCTCCATGTACCCAAGAGGCATGGCAGGCTCCGGGAGTCCTTTGGGACCTAACGTAGTTCACCTGGTACTTAGAACTGTGGGCTCACCTTGTGCGTCAGAATGGCATGTATGGGTTTTGTTAGACTCTTAGGACTTAGTAAAGGACCCTCAGCCCCGTGAAGCTGATTGTACCAATATAACCTGCAGTACTTACTTGGAGCTCTGGCCCTGGATCTGCTGAGGACCTTGCAAGTTCAGGAATGTCAGCAACAGTCCAAGGAATAAAGGTGTCCTGACTTTTGAGTTCCATACCCTTCAGTGGGACGCTGGTAGAAAAGAGAGAAAGGAGGGGTGATTTGAAATGAATGATGCTGAAAGCATTCCAGCTCTGCCTCTCTGCCTGAGAATTCATTTTTAAAATATCCACTCCCTAATTCCACAGCAAATACATCATGCAGCTATGAGGTTTGGGGCTCTGGGCTGGGCAGTAGAATTTAAGAATGAATACAATATGACTTTTTATCTCAAGGAACCCCAAGTCCTGACGAAGCCACTACGGTGATGGGCCAATTGGAATGTAGAATACGGTGCGATGTTTTATACACACCCACACCCACACACTCACAAACACCCCACACACTGCCAGCTCTGTCCGCAGCACTGAAGAAGGCGTACTAGCTGGAGAGACACATCAACTTAGTCCTAAGAATGGGTAGGCGTGATAAAAACCTTACAGGGTGAAGGAAGAGACAATACGAGACACAAAGGCATGAACACAATGTGTTTTGGTGGGAGCAGAATCGGATGTCAGTGAATGAGCCGAGAAACCTTTCCTGGAGTCCGGGAAATCTCTGGGCATTCCTCCCCAGCTCAAGCACTGTTCTCTCCCACTCTCTGAAGGCTCTCTGTTCAGTAGCTCATAGGACTTAGCTGAACACCAGCACCACAGTAGATATAGAAGGTAGACCTGTAGGCTGTTTCAGACCCAAAAACTAGAGTTGGAAGCAGAAATGTTTAATTTATGTTAAAGGGCCAGCTGAAATATCTACCTGTGTGGCAAATAAGTAAGTAGCTCAAAAGTGATTTCTCAAGCTGGGCGTGGTGGCTCATGTCTGTAATCCCAGCATGCAGGAGGCTGAGGCAGGAGGATCACTGTGAGTTCAAGACCAACCTGGGCTACATAGTGAGTTCCAGGTCAGTCTCAACTACATAGTGAGACCCTGTCTCAAAAAAACAAAACAAAAAATAGTGATTTATTTCTACTCTGACCTCCTATGGGTAACTCTCTGTGGTATTAAAATAAAAACAAAATAGTTACATGTGGACTCTGGGACCAGATAGCCTGATTTACTTCTCAGCTTAGCTGTTTATTAGCTGTCATCTTGGGCAATTTACTCTTTCCTCTGTGTTCCTCGGTTTCTTTAAATATAAAGCGACAAGAAGAAGCTGGAGGAAAGTCATGAAAAGAGTAACTAGAAATATTTTAGAATACAGGTGCCTGACCTACCAACGACATTAGGTTAATGGAAGATTCATCTGCCTCTCATCTGTAGCATGTACCCAGGTAAATATCCATATCTCAGCAGTATTGACTAACAACCAACTTGAGAAACAACAAGCCCTCGGGAACTGGTTGAGTTCATAAGTCAAGGGTCCTCTGTAGTTACAGTCACCCTTCAATTGACAAGCAGTAAGTTTGAATCTCTGAGACACAATCCACACAGACTCAGTTACCCTACGCAGTCCTTGCTCCTTGAACTTGTATTTTCATTTTATATGAAGACATACAAAAAATATGATGATACTGACAGCTAACATCAACCTTGGAATAGTATTATACATCTAAGAAATTCATGGTTCAGTCCCTTTTCTGGTACTCTGCACAGCTCTATTTTCCTAGAAGGGAATCCATGAGCTATAGTACTTGAGGAGACCCTTGTCTATAGGGTTTAGAATTTTCTTATCTGCCATATTTACCACCCTTCCAGGAGTAAGACCAAAGGAAATCTGCCTTGGATCCTTTTGAGTACTGAGCGTTTTGTTTTTCAGTTTTTTGAAACAGGGTCTAGCTATGTAGTTGAGACTGACCTGGAACTCACCATGTAGCCCAGGCTGGTCTTGAACTCACAGTAATGCTCCTGCCTCCGCCTCCCACATGCTGGGATTACAGGCCTGTTCCACCATGCCTGGTGAGCACTGAGCATTTTTGAAGAATTCATCTTTGGTGATGTCAGACAGAGAATGTGACCATACTTCCTGGGAAGTTCAAGCCTTGCTTCAGGAAATTTGGCAGGATTTTCCATGTAGCCACAGTTCTTTGCATAAGTATAATATGGTACCAGCTCATCAGGTGGGGCATCCATTTTGGAATGGCTTGTCCATGCAGAAAGAACGGAACAGGTTCTAGCCCAAATTCTCACGATCTTTTCCTTCTGCTTTTCTTGTTATGGTTGCACACCAGATGAATTTGAAAGTGGAATGGTATTGATTAGTAGGCCTGTTCATTGAGATTACAGCCGGTGATGAAAGGTATGGCTTCTTTTAATCAGCAATCTCAAGGAAGCGCTGCTACCCAGAGTCAGGATGAAGAACTCTCAGGGGATGATGGAGAGGATTTGGAATGTGAGCTTGAACCTAGGGAATAGTTTCTGAATTGTGTAGGTAGATGTGTGTGGTTGTGGGTATTGGTTGTTTTTTTTGGTTTTTTTCTGGAACTAGTAACTGAAGCCAGGACCTTTACACTGAGCTACAAACCCTTTTTAAATGTTCTTTAAAATTTTAGAACAAAGTCTTGCTAAATTGCTCTGGTGGACTTGAACTTGCCACCCTCCTGCCTCAGCTTCCTGATGTGCTAAGATTATAGGCATGCACCACCATGCCCAGCCTACATTTTCTAGCAACATTGGAGGTTAGAGACACACAAATTTCAAGTAAATTTGTTTTCTTAGTACTCTGATAAAAATGGACAACTATCAAGCCATTAGCATTTTTTCCTTGAAGAAGGTAAGGCTCCTAATGGATACGATTCTACTTTCTCAGACATTGGAGACCTCTGTATTTCATTCATTTCAAATAATGAAAAAAATTTTTTTCACTGATTATATAAACCACAAAATCATTGGTAATGGGCAATTTAAATACTTCTTGTTCTGAGATGAGGCCTTGCTATATTGAGTCTGGCCTTGAACTTCTGACCTCAAACTAGCTCCTTCCTCAGCATCCTGAGTAGCTGAAGTCAGTGTCCAGCACTGTGCCCAGCTTAAACTCAGCTAATGTAAAATATTCAGAAGTTAATACCCTTATTTAGCTTTGCAGTGATATACTGTACCTAAATCTCACAAAAGCTTTCATTTAGCTTGAGTGATTAAAACTTGATCCTTGAATAATTCATGGTATTTCTTCCAGAGAAAAATAAAATGATTCCTTGCTGATTATTTTCTTAAAATAGGAATGTTTAAAAACCTGAAAAAATGTAAAATGAAAATAATGATCCCTGCTAAGCCCTGAGAACACTGCCTGGCTCATAGTCAATGGCCCATAAAAGTTATTTGTCATTATTATTAGGGTTAATACTATAATGGACCATAATGGGTCTGCCTTTTAGTGAATACAAAGTCAATAATCACGACCAGAAGATTTCAAAAAATAGAGTGAAGAAAGGTTTGCTATTGCAACGAACAAGGAAGTACTGGGGATAATTCTCAGCGCGGTGACTCTGAACATCAAAGGGTTTTCTTGGGGAAACTCACACCCATGTGAGAAACGCATCACCACAGAAGCCATGAGCACATTTCTGAGCATGCTTAGTTTGAAGTCACGCTTTCTTACATATTGCATGTTCCAAGAATGGTGAAGAGAATGCCTCTGGGTAGAGATTTTAGTACTGTACGGAGCACAGTTTACTCGAGTTTGCCTAAAAGCAAAGGGCAAAAATGACATGGTGATTTTAGGCTGGTTTCTTATGAGTTTCTTGGGAAGATCTCATTTGAAACAAACAAATTTGAACAATCATCTCAGCAGTCATTGACAGGGGAATAGTACCCTTTCCTCCCTTGCAAGGAAGGTGATTATTCGTAAAAGTAACTATCTATTGGAGAACAAAGTCCCCCTGTGACATTTCACTCCTTGATCTTGAGGCAGGTAGAGGTGGGGATCAGTTTTCTGAAATTGCTCACTGCTGAATAGGGGTACTCTTTTACCTTTCTTAGTGGAGTGTGGATCTCTTGATGCTAAGACCCTAGATAGGCCTTAGGATCACCTGTGGCCCCTATAAAACCCTATGTTGAGTTTCCTTTGCAATTAGTTCACTATAACATTTTGAAACTCATTGATGATGACACAAGTTACAAACACAATTAGAATAATGGATGACAGACAGCAACTTAAGTAACACAGGAAATATTTCCAGGAAAACTTGAGTTTTTAAATTTACCCAGGCTCCTGGCTCATAGGATAGCGTATTATTCCTGTAGGAGAAGGAAGATTTAAATTTACGTGCTTATTAAGGGCAGAGGTTACCTGCAATAGATTGACTTCCACTTCAACTTCTATAACAGGTTATATTCAGAACAAGTTTTCCTGGAAAAGAGCTTATATACAAAAATCCCAAAGAGGCTGACTTTGAGATCTCCTTTGAGAGTGTCTTTGATCACGTCAGAGCAATAAGTAGGCGTTTTAGCCAATATTGCTGAGCTTTTTGGCACATTTTGGCCAAGGTAATCTTAGTGTACTGTTAGTCCTTGCAGTCTTGCCAGTTAACTGGGGCCTCTGGGCTACATATAATCTCCACTGTATTCCAAGAACCTGAGAAACACCACCCACTATTTCTGAAGTAAAAGCAGGTATCCTCACTGTGGGTAGATGAAGGAAGCCCAAACTTGAGAGGATTTCTCTCGCAAGCCCTTTTATGACTTCTGCTTTTTCTGTTCTGCAAGGGAAGTCCTCTACTCATCCAGGAAAAATATCCACAGGCTTAAGGATCCAAAGCTGTACAGCTTTCATTTGTGAAGAAAGCCTCTGGGCCCCTTCCTGAAACAGCGCTTCATTCGTTTTATAGTTTTCAGCCTTGCAGGAATACAGAGGTCACTGCAGCTATGATCCAACGCGGATGGGTGGCTGCTGCTTGACCTGGTGGCAGACCTTGTCATCATCCATGCAAAGATGACTTTACAGCTATATGGAATGCAAAAGTTGCAGGTCATGAAGATTTCCACCCAGATCTTAGAAGAACAAATAGGGCTCAGCATTTAGCTCAGTGGCACTGCTCCTGCCCTTCAAGTGCAAGGTCCTGAAAATAAAGAACTCTAAAAGAAGGTGTAGGAGGCCATGCAGTGTGCTCCTCAGAAGGCAGCAGGGCAGGGAAGCTGGAGATGCCAGGAACCCGGGTCATCTGCGGAAGATAGCTGTGACAGCAGATCCAGACAAAGACAGGGGTCACGTGGATTTTCCTGTCAATAACCTGGATGGGAATGTGTCTCCACTCTTGGTAATTGATTTAAATTAGATTATTGTTAAGCCATGTGAGCAGCAAGCATTTGGACTCATACGAGAATCTATCTATAAGCCAACTAAAATAGAACATCTACCTGAAAATTGACACATAGAAATATAATAACCTAATCATACATAACCTTAATGCTATCAAACTTAAGGCTTTTATTTGTAAGTCCTATGTAACCCTAAACACTATCAGCCTTCATCTGGTAATGTTTTAAGACTTCAGAGTTTTGTATCTGAGCGTAAATGTTTTATTATAAGTTTTGGAGTTTGGCTACCCTGAAAAATGATGCAACTGGTTTTTCCCAGATATTTCAAAAGGAACTAAAAGTTCACAAGGGAAAAAAATAAAAGGAACAGTAAAACTGATATTACTTCAAATAAATCTTTAGTTAAGCTGCCACAGTTATTTTATCTGGTTTTTAACACAGATTAAATAGGCAGATGAAAAAAACAAAAAACAAAGAAGGCACAAAACAATTACTTTCAAATTTGCCAAGTTGAACTTCAATAACCCTTTTTTAGTTTTAGGTTTGTAACTATAAATAGACTAGTGAAGACTTTTTATAGGAAGTTATCACTTAGGGCTTTGAGGTGAATTATAGCAGAGCTATCTTGTAATAGGTTAATACCAATAAGAACCAGAAGGGGAAAGAGAGAGAGAGAGAGAGAAAATGTTGTGCTGTGAAAGTAGGAACTATTTAAAGAAAGGTTAGGATGATGGTTTATCTTAATTTAGGAATAGCTGCTACCACATTACAGGCTCTTTGGGGTCCTTTGTAATAGAGTTACTACAATAAACTGTTTTTTTTTAAATTTAGCCACAGTTGTTTATTATGTGAATGTCTTCTTCAAACTGACATACTGTTAAAGGTGCAGTGTTGTAATTTATACATTTTTCTTTGGCAAGTATTTTTGTTTCTCAGGAAGTGCTCAGGCCAGGTATGGGTGTAGAAAACGAGGAGCTGACACTTTTGCTTGCAGTTCAAAGGACTCCTATTAAATATGCATTCCAAAGGGTTGGGGAAGTCAAAAGCCAGACACATCCCTAAAGCACCCTGCTGTGGGTGTGTTTCTGCGACAGTGCTTTCCTGTTTTGAAAAGAAACAAGGAGAGAGGGGTTCCCTGCTCATTCCCACTTGTTCCGTGCCCCAGCCAGGGCCGAGCAGTGGGCTGGAGCTGACTGGGGGAGAGGATAGAACCAGTCTGTCTGCCCCCACTGGTGCCTGCATCCTCTTCCGCATGGTCTTTTCCTTTTCAGCCCTCAGCGTATCTCTGAGTGTAGAACTTGGTTGGCAGCCTGGTGACATGTTCTGGAATAAAATTGTAGCAAGGGAGGGGATGTTCCTGGCTCTTTAGATACCTGGTTTGTCTAAAGCTGTCATCAAATGCATAAGGGTCCCAAATGCCACTTTTAGTCCTATTAATATAATCATCTCTCTCTCAGTGGCCCCATTTTAAAAATCAGCCCACCCTGTCCAAGTGGGATTCCTGAGAGGAGAGGAAAAGAGAGAGAGGTGTGGACATATTCCCCATTTCCCAGCCCCATTCTAATGGCAAAAAGACAGACAAATTGGGACTAAAACTCTTTGGTTCATTCTTTGAGACTTTGAAGATTAAATTTAGATCAGTTTTTTTTTTTTTTTAATATAGTCCAGGGGTAGTTCAAGGGAACTAGGAAAAAAACAAGACATGGGTTCTATGGAGATGTTTTATCCCACACAAAAGTGCCCTTTCGGGTAGCATGAGGTAGGAGTCCCCTTTGAAGGAGTGCTTTTCCAGCCCTTGAATGTGAAGGGCAGATTCACTCCAGAGTTGGGAAACTAGTGACGGTCACAAAAGCCAGACCCTGAAGGATTTCATAGTGAGGGAAAGTCACCATCCTGGAAAGACGGCAAACCCGGTCCTGGACAGTCCTGGAATCTGGCAGCCACACGGGAGAGATTTGCCCTGGACCAACTGCTGCTGCCAGCTGCCTTATTTCTCAAGGAAAGGGAAGGGGACAAGGGACAGAAAAGTGCCTGATCTAACAGGAACTCTCTGTGAAAGTCTTTCTCGGGAACTTTATCTATGGGACTTGACACTTGTTTCCCAAATCCTCACTACCCCAAGAACAGAAAGACAATCAAGAATAAGTTTTCTTAGGCGGGTTTCTGATCCTCAATAAAACATACTTCTAAAGACAAGAGCTACAGTTAACTCCCACTGTAACAGCCCTGTTTTAGAAGGTAAGCATTGGTAAACAGAAAATTAAACCAATTATCAAGGGACCTGAGCAACTGTTTTCTAGCTTCCAGAGAGATAAGACCAGAAAGGCTTAGAGGTGCTCCTCTAAGCTGCGGTGTCTAAGGCTCACAGATATGTATCCTTTGAAGATAGCTTTTTCCAGTGTCATCCGGAGATCATTTGTCTCCTACAGTGCCTTAGGATGAGAGTCGGTCTTATGAGGGAGCCTTGGTGAAGACACCGGAGAGGCCAGGTCTTTACATTGTGTCTTCCTGGATGAGCATGATTCCCTAGTCCCTTTTGACCCATGGATGGGGGTATGTGGTCTAAAAGGAATGTCTAATGAGGCTGCTACCCATCATGGAGAGTGCCTCTTGGTATCTCTTCCCAGTTCTGAGAGGAGACAGCAAGTGTCTTTTATCTTTGCTGCCCATCTGTGTAAGTATTAATTTCCTAAGGGCTCAGGAGCCTCCCACTGGAAAGGAAAAGGGTTTTCAGGATTTTAAAGAGAAGCGCATTACCATTTCCTGATAATCATAACAACCATCCCTGTAAAGTGAGCAACCAAAACCTCCCTAGCCTCCAAGTGAATTCTCAGACACGCCCAAAATCCCTAAACTGCAAGCCAATTAGAAGTTCAAAACCCATCCTAAGGAGCTGTGTGTAATGAGTCCAAGCCATCTAGTAACTGCCAAACAATTCAAGGAAGGAATACAAGGCCCTGTTTGGAAAGTAAAAGATGTCCATCAAAGAAGTCCAACTATAAAAGGTTTCTCAATCTTTCCATGTTGTCAGTTTAAACCTATTGTCATTTTGACAAATAAATAAATTAAAACACACACACACACACACACACACACACACACACACACAAGATGTAATCAACCAACAAACAAGGGATGACAATTCTCAATTTCCTAAATGACTTAAATGCATAATTCAGTCAAAATACTCTAGTGGTACCATGAGATAAAACAAGCTCTCACCTCCTTCCATGGTTTTGGTGGGCCCTCCGTTGTGTTGTGGGCATCATGCTCCCAGGAACTTCATCTGGAAGATACAAACATGGTCCAAGACTGGAAGATGTGATGGCAAGTTTAGATCAAGGGATTGTGGGCGGGCCAGGTGCTATGAGAGCTGGCCATGAGCACATCTTAGAGCTCAGATACAAAGGGGTGAGCATAACTATGGAAAAGAAGTTTTCAGATCTCAGATGGCTACTTTGAAAGCACTGCTGAGCATTTCTTACCATCTAGTGGTCAGAAAACAGGGTACACATATCCTCCAAGCAAGTGTAGGATGAACCTTGAGTAAGAGAAAGTATGATAAACCAGCAGGAGATTTTTTTTTTACTCCAACTACAGATTCTAAAATATCTCACTGCTGGGTTTGTTGGATCAGGCCATAGTTTCCACTGTGGTGACTTCGAGCCAGGTTCAAATTTCGGTTCTTCTCAGTATGGCTGAAAAGCTTTGGACAAGTTGATTAATCTAATTTTCTCTTCCAAAAATTGGGACAACAGTATCTATCTGTATGTCTGTGGATAGAATTAAGTAAAGCAGTGCATGTAATGTGGCTGGTGCATCTTAAACACTTAATAAATGTTAGCTGCAGCTGCAATACTAAAAATAGGTGGCAGTAACTGGTGTAGAAGAGAGAAAGGGTCTGGAAAAGTTGGAAATTGTTTAGAGAAATTTGTGGATCCACACTGAACTGTTTTTTTGTTTTTTTGGGGTTTTTTTGGCAGCCAATTATTTTTTGCCATGTACTTTGGTGTTTGCTGTTCTCAGCCTTTATCTTACTTTACCAAATTGTATCTCCATGCAAAAATGTCAGTGCTTCTCTCTGCCTTATGACTATCTAGTCAGGAAGGGAAAGCTCTGCACAGAATGCACCTAGAGCTGTGCTAGACAAATCTTCGTGGATATTTTGCCCACAGCTTCCAAACTGTCTGCTCTCCTCCCATCCCCTTGCTACCTTTCTTCCCCAACACAGGAACCTTTGTAATTATTTACCTGAAATTATCTACTTCCTTCCACTAAGCATCTTTGACAAACAAGCAACAGCATGGAGTTTGGCAATAAGTAAGCGATTAATTTATTTTGAAATTTAGTCTTGTAATGAACTTCACAATACTTCTAAGAGATTTTGTAAAGAATTTGCAAGCCCAGTCAAGTTCAGGTCAAAACTAACCTTGCTCTGGTTGTTACTTATTACAGCTGTGCTGACTGTCCTTCTTAAAAGGTTACTGTTTAGCTTTGAACTTCTTTTATTTCAGAGTCATGGGAAATGGGTTAGTATTTCTCATCACATCCAGAAGGCAGCCAGGCTTTGTGTGTTTGCCTGTGGACAGCACGGTTCTTGAGGACTGGAAAACATTGGACTCAATCAGGTTTGTGTTGGGTGCTTTCTGTGTGCTTAGATTTGGAGAAGAAGATCAAGTGGCAGGTAGAACACTTTCTTTTTAAGATATTGAGGGAGCTGACTGTGAATCCACAGACAAGAGGCTTGGCAAGGCAGGTCACACAGAGATAAGTGGAAGGGATACTGGGGACACTGGCAGAGGAAGCCTTGGTACCAAGGAGGCTACACAAGTTAGGTCTATCAAAGTTAAGTCTCAGAACCATAGGGTAGAAAATTTATACATTTCTTTAGGTAAATAGGTCAAAATATGTTCCCTCAAAGAGTTCTGAAAACCCAAAATGTACAACTTCTGCCTGTGGGGATATATTTATCACTTTGACCATAGCTTCCTGGCCACAAGCAGAAGTAAAGAGTGGCAGGGCTACTGCTTCTAAAAAGCTAGAAGTTCTCAAATGACTGTATTGGTATAGTTTCTTTGGGGTTTGCACTTACTTAGAACTAGATTACAAATTCCCTGCAATGGAAGAGACTTCTGGGAATGTGATTGGGTTAAGGATCAATTTGGGAGAAGTATAATACTCGAGACAGAGTAATACTGATATAACTACAGGTAGCAGTTGAATAAAACAGAATAAAGTCTGAAAAGAGTATCAAAGGAGAAAGGTTTTTCATGGTCTTCTACCTCTGAATTAGTATAGAAGTTCCAAAGCCTTTCCAGTGAATCACTATGCTAGTCTTCATTTTACAAAATTCTTTGCTTCTTATGAGATCCCTGAGCTAAATAGCAGCATCCCAATTTTACAGATAACAATTAGAGCTTTTACAGATGAAGTGGAATATTATCTGTGGAGTAACATTTGAATGGCAATAGGAAAATTTCCCAAATTCTCCGGTAACTCTCCTCAGGAAACCACTTCTGCCATTCTCTAAGTCATATTAATGAACAGAGAATGAGCTACTGAACGCTGTCTTAGGCTTTGACTGTAAGCCTTAAGAGGAGAAATAGGGTTTTTATTTTTAAAATCTAAAGCGTATGGGCTGGGGATTTAGCTCAGTGGTTCTGGTGCTTGCCTCGCAAGCGCAAGAACCCGAGTTCATTCCCCAATACCAAAGTAAACAAAAAAATAAATAAAATCGATAGCATTTTATACAATGCCTAGGCTGTGTTATGGTAGAGAATAAATCCTAAAACCTTCGTGGGTTAACACATAAATATTTTTCTTGCTATATAAGATGTCTAGGGATATTCCTTTCCAAAGGTGATTCGAGACCCAGGCAGCCTTTATCACACAGCAAGGCCTTCTGGAGGACATGGCCTCTGGTTTGCTGTGGCAGAAGAAAAGAACTCTCAGATGTCACTATCACACCCAACCCACTGGCCCATCCTGTAACCCTGTCTATCTTTAGGCAACTAAGGAACATTGGGAGCCCAGGAGGAAGAGTAAATGCTTCTGTCGTCCTAGCTGAGAATATGTCTTGATGAAGCTTACAGGATAAACGAATGTGGAAATTCGGCACAGAGTTTGAAGTATGCAAATATCGAGGCAGCTTCCAACTTCCATACCGCAGAGGAAAGTAATTCTGTCCGCAAGAGGAATGAGTAAAGGAGGTCGGCCATTCATTGACAGTGTGCTCCAAAAGAGGCACTGTTCTAGAAACATTGTACGGCTATCAGGGTGAATGCTCATGCGTACGAGGATCCCACAGCATAGGTGCTAATAGTCTTCGTTCAGAAAATTACTTTCTCAAAGCAGAGGTTTGAGTCCACGTTCACCGAGTCGTACAGCATCTGATAGAGACTGTCTTCTTTACTCTATTATCTCCTTCGGCCTTCAGTACTTTATGCAGTGGAAAGCAATGGTTTCAGAAATTCAGTTGCCTTAGCAGGCAGTGCCAGGAGGAAGGAAAAGAGAGACACAGCCTTCCTCTGTCACCTGCTTTCGTCTGCCTTTCCTCTCTTTCCTACTACCACCTGGGGATGGCCTCTGCTAGGTCTAGATATATGTAAAAGACTGGAAGTCAGTACAGATTGGGTATCCCTTGTGCAGATGCTTGCAACAAATGCTCCATTTCTATGATTTTTGCGAATTTTAAAATATCTGTACATTTGTTCATGAGACTTTTGGGGATGGAGACTACATCTAAAAACAGCATTCTTTTATGTTTCATACACACCTTGTACACATAGTCTAAGGGTTATTTTATAAATAACTTTAGTGAACCTGTATTTTGATTGCCTGTAGTCCGGTGTTGAATTTTCCACTTGTGGAGTCGTGGTGGAGCTCACAGTTCCAGATTTTGGAGCATTTCAGACGTCTAACCTGTGGTGAAAAGAAAAGCGTTCAGGGACTATTTTGCACCACTGCGTAATTTTTGACGGCAGTTTGCACACACTATCCCAAGCAAATAAAGAGGTGGGGCAGTGATCTCACAGGGTCACACATGATACCTTTCCCAGTGGCTTAGATTTTGTGGGAACTGGCCAACCTCGCTTTCCGAAGCACTTCTGACCCTACAGGGTAGAGGCTTGACTCAGTGTTTCTTTCGCACGCGGACACCCCAGACTGATTCAGACATACGAGAAATGAGTCAGAAGGATTCTGGGTCAGGTTTTGCCGTTTTTGTCACATTAGCTTGTGTAATTCACTTGCAATCTCTGGGTTTTCACCTTTCCATCTATAAAGTGGGACTGTTACACCCACCCTCTGTCTGCCCTTACTCTCACCTGATGACTTTGTTCATCAGATGAAATAGTACATAGGAGAATGCTTTATGGGCTTTTAAGGCCAATTTAAATGTAAGAGATTTTTAAATTGTTAGTGGTGTGGTGATATTCTGGGTAGTGACTATTCTAATAGTCATTTTACTAGTGTTTTGCTCTTTCAATGTGAATTCTTTAATGACATGAAGTGAGGCATCTTTTCATATATATTCTTCTCATTTATATATTTTCTTTCATAACAAATTATTTTAAATGACCAGCTAAATAAGGATTTTTTTGGGGGGGTATGCTTGTTTGTTTTGGTTTTTACTTTCTAAGTTGTGATTTTATTGTGGGCAGGAAAAAGCTGTGTACAATTATGACACTTCGGACCCCTACAGACCTTGTCAACCTGTCATTTTATAAATCCCTGCTGGCAGCACACATTTTTCCTCTCTTCATAGTGCTTACCAGCAGGGTTGTTTAAGTCAGAACACACTCCTAAACATGTATTGTCGGGCAAAGCAGTTTGACCTGTTTCTCATCTATGAAACAGGGATAATAATACTTACGTTTGGAAATCATGAGGATCAAACCATTAAAGCTTGTAAAGCAATTCACACAATCCAGGGCACAAAATCAAGCACTGGATAAGTGGTTGTCATTTTATTGTCATTCTTCTCTTTTTATTTTTCACAAATGCCCCAGTCAATCTTTATTTTGACAGGTCAGTGGTGTCAGAGCACAGGAGGGAGCCCTCCTCTACTAAAACTCTAGCAGGGACTGGGGAGTGCTGCTTCTATCTGTTTCAGTGAGCCAGCCCACTGTCTCCCAGGCTCTTTCCATAATAAAACTATGCCATTGTTTAATAGAGTAAGAAACTCCCTACCTTTCATGGAACTATATGAACATCTGTGTCTGTGTCTTACAATGTCCTAACCAATACCCCCTTGAAAGCGCAAATTTATACTATGGTTGGGTTTCAAAACTGTACTTGGAACTCATCTGTTTGAAATTAAGGCTGTATTTTCCCATACAAAGAATGGTATTTAAAAAGTGACTAGATTTCCAAGCGACTAAAATATGCTCTTGATTCACAAAGTAGCAGACAAAGGGCATATTTCAGATGTAAGTGACTATAAATCAATGGTATATTGCTAGTCATTAACCAACACTGAAAACCACAAAGATCATGTAATAAACAGTTTCTTTTATTTCTTATGAAGGCTAATGACAAGAATGTAAGTCTTAATTAGAAGAAAAGAGAACTCCCTGGAAATTTATGTAAGGAATCTTAAGGTAATTCTAAGGGTATTTTAAAAAGCCTTTGAAGTATTTTTACTAAGTGTATACAACTTCACATTTTTTTAACTTTTTCTTCCTTGATAGAAGGGACTATGTAGCAGGGATTTCATCTGCCATCACAGATTTATTTTGGGTTTACAAGTTGGAAAGGGAAGGACACGGGAGAGCTTGGGGAAAGGAAAGAGGAGTGGGAAAGACTCTCCTGAGATCAATCAGCAGGTTGGAGAAGCTGAGGCAGGGGAAAGAAGTATCAATATATAGTGAGATGAATTTTGAATGCCTACTCTGACAGCAAAGAAAGCAGGTGCTCTGAGAACCCTTACCCTGTTATCAAGTGGAAACGGTAAAATGAGTAGTTCCCACTGAGACCATAAGGTGGCATCAGAGGTCCAGAGCAGTTTGAAAAAGACAAGTTCCCAAATTGGAGAGGAGAAGTAAGGCAGGCTTTGAGCTCAAGGCTATTTGTTGTCAGCAAATAAACCAAAAATACTGTACCGTTTCCATATTTTGTATTTATTTCCACAAAGTAAATGAACTAGAATATTAATATAACCTCATTAATCGGAGGTCTTTGTATTTAGAGGAGACAGAATTCAGGGACCCAAAAGACCACAACCCAATCTTTAATTTCTGGTGCCTTCAGACATAGTACAGATTAAACTGAAATAATAAAAAACCTACAGCTTTTCAAATGGGAAAGATGAAGTTTCGCAAACAGTAGTTCACGTCTTCTCATGAAACCAATAATGTCAGTCACCTTTGTCCGGAAGAAGGTGGCCTTGGCTGCCACAAACACTAGTCCACTGTTGGAACAAAACAGGTTTATTCAAGTGAAACCCTCCCTGCTGATACAGCCTAACTAGAGTCAGGAGAAGAGAGGAAGAGTCAGAATGGTGAAATCCAGTGCAGGTGAGGTAACTTTCTGGGACTCTTAGGTCTATGATGAGAACCTAAATCTTAAGTAAAGAGAATCTAATTCTGTTTATGCTAGCAGCCTAACTAGAAGTAATTGCAAGCATCCT